ATTCACTTATAAAAAATTACAAGACTCAACAACCGATCAAGTTTGTTATTAATTCCTCAAGAAAGCAGAGTCAAAGCTTCATAGACTTCACCCACCCTGTACCTTTATGTCCCATTTTTAATACTAAAAAAGTTATACTCCTTGTAAGGTACGGTCGGATAATCTCACATTATTTTACTTCGTCAATTTGTCAAGGATGTAAATTATTTAAAATTTACAAATTGCAACATCTACTCTTTACTTTATTCTTTAATTTCAGGCAATTTTGTTTTGTTAATTAATGGTATTTCTATTTCTGGATATAAATTTTAATTTGCTCAGTCTTTGTTTCATGGCTACTGTTTTCTGCATGACAAATATGTCACGTTAGTAAGACAAGTCACGCTGTTTTCCCCCCTCGATAACTAGTCTTCTATGTATGCTTTATGTATTTATTAATTAACTATTCAAATCCTTTTACTGATATTTAATATATTTTTTAGGCTAAAAGGGTCAAATATCTACTGAATTTGGTTTATTTAAAAATTAATTTTTGAATTTTTAATTGGTGATTTGACCTTCTTAATTTTTTTATTTTTTTTTAAGATTTAGTCAATTCTGTGATTTTTAGCTATCAATCCTCATTTTTTTGTAAAAAAAATTCAAATCTTAGTATTTTGATCTGAAATTTTGTACACAAGTCGAAAAAAATTCAATCTATTTTCTAAAAAGATCCTATAAATTTTCAATTCCTAGAATTATATTTCTTTATTTTTTAAATATTAAAAATATACAAAAATTAGAAAAATATAAAATAACCAGAAATGATACTAAATTTTTTGAAGAGCTCCAAATAAATCTTATTTAATGATCATGAAGCTATTTATATAATTTTTATTTAACGAGATAAATGAGAGAAAGCTGAAAGATAGATTAAATCTAAAAAATTCAGAAAGATCAAAATGGAAATTAAAAATTCAAAAACTAATTTTCAAATAGATTAAAATTAAGGAGAAGTTTGTCCCTTTTATCTTTTATATATATATATATATATATATATATATATATATATATATATATATATATATATATATATATATAACATGAGTGTGCGTGTGTGTTTATTTAGTTAAAATATTTGATATTTAATATACACACAATTTATATAAAGCTTGATGATTTCTATTTAGTTTAGTTAATTTTTTATTTTTAAAGCATGTAGAAGAAATTTTTATTGCACCAAAATGAAAATTAGGAACACAAAATGCATCATCTTTCAACGTATAGTAGTATTGTTTTTCTTGTGAGTACAATTAGAAACCGAGTCAGTATTTTTCATATAATTATCTTCTATAAAGGTTTTATGCCTTTCTTTTAAAAAAATAAATAAAAGGACTGCTCTCATTCCATCACCCTTTTCTGCCCATTGTCAGCCTCTAGGAGACGGGTAGATACTAGGTGGTGTCCATAAGTCGAGTTGGCTTGTAATGGTTCTTGTCCACTGAATGCGCACCCGAACATGGCACGTAGTTTTACGTGTGACCACGGATCTGTTTTTAGCCTATTTGAGTTGGTTTTATTGCTGGGCTGGGCCTGGAAACCTTATGTGTCTGGCCTCTTATAGTCTTCTGGTAGGTGTCCTAATCTGTTTTTAAGTTTCATGAAACCACCTAGCTTCTGTAAAGATTTTTGTGTTAAGATTCGCCAAATTCGTGAGGACATAAAGCTACGAGGGTGCTTCAGTTTACACCTCCAGCAATAAGAATTGCGAGAGAAAATTATCCACTACGGGATAGGAAAAATTCAAGTAGACTTGAAAGTAGGAATGGTAATAGCATGATCTAAAATAGATATCCGTTTTACTCTATCTAATAAATATTCATTAAGAATGTCTAATAGGTATTAAAGTTGATAAAGGTAAAAAAATATATATATATACCCATTAATATGATTTCAGGATATCAATACTTATTCTTTACTCTATTAATACCTATTAATTAATTTAGATTTTTTTATTAACATGTAAGAATCTAATTGTATAAAATTTAAAAATTCAGGACTAAAATATTTTATTTCAAAACTTTGAAGATAAAAAAAACTTATAAATAAATGATCAAAAAATATTTTAACGATCAAAAATACTTTTTTTTTGAAAATTATAAGAAAAATGAATATTTTTGACAAATTAAATTTAACGGATATTAAATGAGAATAAACTAATATAGGTCAAATATGAACTGAATAAATATTTATATGGTGATTTTTTAATGTATAATATATAAGGTATCCTTTTGATGAATAAGGGAAAAAATTAAATTAACAACCCGATATCCACTCCTTGTTATCTCTACTTGAAAGGAATATCAAACCATATCACTAGGAGTACATCGTGCTGGGGTTTAAACTATTCTTCAAGGGACTCTTGAACATAGACAAACTAGATAAACCAAGGAAAAAAATGGCACAACCCTTTACATAATATGTATTGAGAAGAAATAAATAAAAGAGAAAAATGAGAAGAAAAAAAAAGCTTGTACAAAACATTTTGAGAATTGTCCTTTCTTGCATCGAAGGAAAGCATGATCTAGCTAATCGTTTGGTATTAGCCGCGGAAATAAAAAGAATTATAATGCAATATTTAATAGGAGTACTCAAAATTTGGGAAAGTAAAACCATTTCTTGTAATATTTTTTTAAATTGAGTTTGGTTTAGTGACTTCTTTGTAATTTGATATCAAATGCAGGACTAAATGTAGAAGTAAACATATTATAGGAAATAAATAAACACAAAAATATTTCCTCGTATAGAAAATGGAAAATACCTTGTTAAATTGATTTGCCATGTCTAATGTTTATCGTTATCTTAACCAACGACACATCACGTACGTCTTGTAGCTCATTATTTTATTGGAGCCATACCGGCCCATACATGCAAGTCCATACAACCCAATAGTAAATTCACACACTAAAAGATAAAATATGCTTGCTAAAGATATTAGTTTAACAATGCATAAACTTTGATCATTAGGATCCTAATTGTTTTCTTAGTAAAAGATCTTTAATTCTTTATTTCTTTGCAGTTTTACCTAAATATCATAATCTTCAGAATGAAAGTGATAAGATTTAATTTCTTTCAATAAATACAATCATAATATTCAAATCCTGCACATTAATAAAAAATTCGACTAGAGATTAACTTGCTTGCTATTAGACTAACAACTTATTAATAAAGAACATTTAATTTAGTATAAGTTACATCATAACAAATTGGAAAAGTTCATTAGGGAGAGCCTATCAAAGACTTTGGTAGTGTAGGTGCACTACACCAAAGATCAACTTTCTTGATGGGTTTTTTATCCTTCAGAGGCGTTTACAACCAGCTTTACAACATTCTCTGACAATTTTTCTAATCGTCTCAAAACCACCTGCAATATAGCCATATCCATGACATAATGGTAGTTTTTTCAACCGTCGCTTCTAGAGGCATTTTAAACCACCTTTAAATGATTTTTTGAGGTGGGTAAAACCACCCCTATAATATCAATTGAGTCGTTTTTTTTTTATGCAAAATATACGAGACAATTTGAAAATACCTCCAATTTTTCAAAAAAATTTAAATTTTAGCTGAGAATGATCAGAGGCGGTTGCTTTACAATGAAAATTCAATTATAGAGACACTTACACAACCGTTTCTAGTATTTTAGTTTTATTTAACCTCCAATTTTAATAATTCTACTCCTTTCTTTTGTCAAAACTAATAAATTAAAAAAAAAAAATCAAACAAACATTACAACTTGTTGAATGAAAATAAAATAAGATTATATTGCTCATAAAATATTTGTAAATTTGTAATTATCAAAGTACATAAAAAGTCTTGAAACATCCACTAGACAAAAATAAAAATAACTTAAAGTATTAAATACTTGTTCAAAACAGCAAAGCAAAGTTTCTAGGTCGTAGTTGCTTATTCAACAATTCTTTTGCAATCTCCTCTCGAAGATAAAAACCGGCTCCTTGAACCTGGAATAAACACATTATATTGAACTTGTTTTGACGAATGCAATGCATCAAGAAGAAAAGAATCCACTGAACATATTCAAAACATTTCACAAAAACATACCCTTTCATCAGCCATTAGATGTATTTTTCCAATTTCGACAGCTGCTACATCAGAAAGAAATCCAGTAACAGATCTAGCATATAGAAATCCCCTAGAATAGGTTGGATCGCGAGTCAACTGCAACATTACGCATGCCTGCACACACAAGGGTCCAGTTCAACATCACTGACTTTAAATTGTGTCTTAAGGCTTGGTGTTTTGTTTCTCATTGGACTGAAAAAAAAAAAAAGGTGGAGAGCAACAGATTCCAATTGGCTTGGAGTAAATTATAAATTCGTTCTTCTTGTTTAGAAAAAAAATTTATTAGTCTGTTTTTTTTTTAAACTAATCATTTATATTTTAATTTCGTCAATGTCTTAATTATTTTATCGTGTTTTTATTAAATAAATGATTTTTGTTTCTAAATTGTTTTTCTTTTAGTTGAAGAAAAAGAAATAAAACAGGTGATGAAGAGAAATGAGACATAAAAAAAAATTAAAAAAATTAATCTAACGAATTACTAATTTATTGAAGGAATTAAAATATAAAAAACTAGATAATTAGTTTTTAAACTAGAGGACTAATTAATTCATTTTTTTGAAACAAAAAGGACTAATTTATAATTTACTCATTGTCTGGTAGGAACTTCTCAAAAGACATTAATTGAAACTACCATCCCCAATCGAAAAATTTTATAATACACAAAGAAGTAACTCAGTGACATATACAAGTAGTTATTGATCGGATCCACTTTAAGGAGAGAGATAGACATATAAAAAAAAGAAATTACATTCATACCCACCAAAAGTGATAAGAAAACTTTCACGTTCACTCAAATTTTTTTATTCTCTCTCGTCTCTCTCCTCAAAATAAACTCAAGGAGTAACTACTATATTACTCTTTATATATTATAAAATTTCTCCTCAATTGCCGATGTCAAATTTTCCACATTCGACATGTTTACCTTTCCCCAAAATATGCATTTTAATCCAGCAAGCACCACTGTACACCACATGATTCCAAGACCCTTCTGTTCTGCATATATCGCATGCCATGTGCGTATTGCATACACAAACTTCAGTATCCTGAAGTCGGCGAATTCCTTTCACATTAGATTTCCTAGCAAGAAGTTCTACACGTTCTGATTAATTATCAAGAAAGGTAACAACTCACACATTTACAGAGACTTTCTTGAACCAAAATTATTCCATGTGAAATTCAGCAAGTTCTTCTACTACTTGACATAGAAGTAAATCAAGGATGTGCTGCCCAAACTCCGTAAAGATCTCCTCAAAACATTCAGAATCAAACATGTTCTTCCTTGCCCATCTTGAATCTTTAATATCTTCTTCTGTCAACCTGCATAGCTTTCTTGCTATTTCAGTGTAGTGTTCCTTATCATGATTATTACATGATTCATACTCATGTTTCTTGATTCCCCTTGGCTCAACTTCACCATTGTTGATCAGCATGTTATTGGTTAAATTAGGAGGATTTGGTGAAGATGTCTTTTTTGAGCACTTAAAGTCCACAGCCCAAGTGTCGCCTGCTGAAAAGTAAATATAAAAGGTAAAACAATAGCAACAAAGATAAAGTTATTTGGATGCTAATAATGTAGAGAAAATCCAACACATGGAGAATTAATGCTTAAGAAATCACTTACCAGGAAGAGGTATTGCATCATGAGCCAGAAATTCATTGAGGCCAAGAAGAGAAATTGTGCTCGAATCGTCTGAGCTACAATCAGACTGTGATTCTTTGTTTACTTGCCTGTTTTTCATCCTTTTCATGAACTTTGATTCTACCAATACTTCCTTCTGATTTATGGACTTCTTCGCTGAACTTCTGGCCTTTGAATTCTCTCGAGATTTTCTGTGAACATCTTTTTTATGAGGCATAACAAAGCCTGAAGAAACTTGAGCACCTTTGCAACTACCAAACCTCGAAGATTGTCTATTATGAGGCTCCCTCTTCAGCTCATTCTTTGACGTAGAAACCTTCATGCTGTTGTTTTGTCGATTCTTATCCGTCTTTGTAACTGCTCCTTCCCTAGTAATTATACTTTCCTTGTTCTTGCTTTGGTCGTCATTCTTCTGCTTCATCTGATCTCCAAGATTGATCCCTTCAGATTTCCTCTGTTTGGATCCCAGTTTCTTACATTTCTCCGCATGATCATCCAGGTAAAGAACGTAGACATCATGATTTTCTTGATTTATTAACGCTGGCACTTCACGAAATGATACCGATGTTCTCACTCGGCGATGTTGAGCTTGGGCTAAATCCAACTGAAGCAAGTAATCCATAAAATTCACCGACCTACTTCTTGTGACTGAATCTGGGGTGCCTCTTCCTTTTGGAACCCAGTTGGTATCCGGCAATGACTCTAACCCCATTAGCCTTGCCACCACACCCGGAGCAGTACAGACTGGAGCTTCAACATTGGCACCACCCATCCTTGAATCTTTCTTTACATGATTGAAAAGCTCTGTTGTAATGGGCTCCGGGATCTGATCTGATGGGTGTGTTTGGTGACTGCCCTTGCATAGAATCAGCCGTACTATGCCCGAAAAACACCCAGACGACCTAGAGCCAGAGCCTGCATTGTGTGAATTACTCATAGTTTGGTTTACTTCTTTGTGTTTGTAGTCAAGTGCTCAGTCGAGAAATATGGCCTTGTAATATAGTAAAAAGGCCAATCATTCGCCAAAAAAGAAAGCCAGGGTCTATAGCTATTGTATCAATATAGGGTATCTATTGAATTTACATATAAATTTTTTAAAAGGAAACGAATTTAATCTTACTACGTGAAAACACAGTCGAGGATGCCGTAATTGTTAAAAGACCAAAAAGCAATAGCGGTAGCATATAATAATTGAGAAAGAGAAAGAGAGAGACAGAGAGAGAGAGGGAGAGAGGCGGGCTTTGGATTTTGAATGGGATTTGGGTGGACGGTAGCGAAGAAAAAGTCGGTAGATAAAGAAGTTTTAGATCGTCGCATTCACATTGAGAAAGAAGAAAAGGAAAAATCAAAGGAAGAATAAAAATGCTACGCCTACTCGCCAATAGGTCACTCGTTTTCCTGTCATGAATTTCGTTATTTTATGCTGTTATGACGTGCTATCTGCCTCCTATATCATGCCTAAGCTAAAAGCTACATTGGAATATTATTCTTCAAAGTATGGCCGTATTTGTTGACTCCTGAGTCCTGGTATGGTACTGAGGAGGTTGGACCACAAGGGTCTTTGTGTTCAAATTTCTCAGCCGCCGACTCACGTACCTTTAAGCTTAGCTTAGCCTTACTATCTTTGGTTAACTATGGGCCTGTTTATGAGTTTGGTGTGGATGGACTATGGCTCCTTTGGTCTGCAATTGGGATGGGCCTTCATTATTCAAGACCAGAATGAGATGAGACTATCCCAGTTTTACATGGGCTAAAACATGATCTGCTGTTTCAAGTTTTCACTGCAGCACATCGATGAATTTATGTTACTTGTTTCATCTTCTTTGCACATGTCGATGGTCATTAATCCATGGACAGATTAGAATTTTATACAATTAAGTTCAGGTTTCGGTCTTGATTTTTCTCAGTCATATTAATTCAGAAACCGAAATCAAAATTGTGGAACCAATCCAAAAAGCGGAATGCTCACTCTTCCCTACAACTCAACTGCTTACTGTTTCCAATGGAGCTTTGTTGGCAAACTTTATCGAGTTCCCGCTGGCCACTAGCCAATTATCGTATGGAAGGCAGCCGAAACAAATAGGCTATGGCCATCAACAATTACGTAAGAACAAAAAAAATAAATAAAATAAAATAATAATAATAATATCTAACGGTTGGTTAAAAAATCTCTATCACTTGCTCGTATTGTAGTTTAAAGAATGGACCACGGTGCTGCTGACAACTTACAGATTCTGGATATAGGCACATGGATGTTGGCAATTCAGCGCCATATAATTTCTATCTTGCCAAAAAATTAAAAAGGATAAGGTTACCAAATGGCTAATCCTTTTTACCTAATGTCAATTCATTAGCTCGAGGTATCGGAAAAAAAAAAAAAAAAAACCAAAGATCAAGGATTAAATGGGATTTTACCAAACATTCACGGGTCATTTTACCAATCAGCCTTAACAAATTGTCTAGACATGGCCGGTGATGATTACGATGGTCTATGGTGGAATCATTAATAGGATGAAGGAAGTTTAACGAAAGTCAACCAAAATTTTTACATAAAAAATGACACTTATGAGCTGCTTTTTGCAAATCATTGGTTCTTTTGGTTGGGCCAACTCTGAAAGTGAAAGGGTGGGCTTTCATGGACCTTTTTTTCTCCATCACAAAATATGGAGAAAATACAAAGCAATATGAACCAGGATTCCAGTGTCCCTAACAGAATCCCAAGTCATAATTTTGTCCATACAATCACATCAAGAGGGTGAAAATTGGTATTTAAAAAGGAGGCACTATCTTTTTCATTATTTTCTATCATTTTTTTTTCAATTATAAATCGATTGAAAAATACTGCATGATAGCTTCAAAATGAAGAGATGATTTCCTCTCCAAGGAAGAGTAAATATACATTATTCCCTTCACTTTTACAGCGTTAATGAGAAAAATTCCCAACATGCATACTCTTCCCTGACCAAAAACTGCAGTATCTTTTACATAATTAGGGTTTTTCTTTTAATAGTTTATTTACGTATTATTATTGTGAGTGTTTGGAAGGCTAAGACTTATTTTTAAGGGTGATTTGTTTTACTTGGCAATTTGCTAGTATTTAAGGACTGCTAATAAGAAACAACTTTGATACACATTGTGTGAGTTCCTAGATTCAATCGCAACCAAGAGAAGTTGGAGTTGCGCAGCATGCTAAACCAACTCAAGCAAGAGGTATTAACCCTGTTTGAAATTAGAGTGGAAGCCCAGAGGAGACTTTGGAAGGTAACCACAACCCCTTAGGGTTTGGTTAGTATTTAAGTACTGCTAATAAGAAACAATTTTGATATTTTGATAATTTTATAGAGTTTATTCTTATTTTCTGGCTGTTCAGCCTCGACGACCAGCCTTTGGCTGTGTTAGCTATCTTTTGCGTTCTCTCTCTACATCAAATCATTTCTGTATGCATCAGTTTTGCTCAATGGAAACTATTGATACTAATTCAGTCCGGCCATACCTATGACAATACCAGCTCAAACAAATTGTGTAAGCCAGGCAAATGAAACCAAGATAAAGAGGAGGCTGGAAACCATCTTGTGATTCAGCTGAGGAAGGCCAAAAGAGTTTTACTCCGAAGATGAGCCTCTAAGTTGAGGGTCAGTCTCATAGTAAACAACATCCCCGGTGTCGCTAACATAGTGGTCTTTTTTCATGCTTCTTATCAAATTTCCAATTAGATGAAAGGGTAGAAGGCCTGACTTCTTCGGCTCTCGGTAATATTTCCCAAGCACTGGTTTAGCCGCCTCAGTCTACATATAATGAAGTATCATAATCAGATAAGAGAAAATAGCAAGTCAAAACAATCAAGCCTTTCATTAGGTCCCAGAGGAGTGCTCGTCACAATTGCAATGGAAACAACCATTTATCAAAATAAAGAAATACTCACTGCTTCAATTAAGTGATAGTGTGGGATTTGAGGAAAGAGATGGTGAATGACATGGGTTCCTATATCATGATGGATGTTGTTAATCCATCCATAGTCGTTATCAACAGTCGTAAGGCCTCCCCTCAAATAACTCCATTCCTGTTCAATTACATTGAAAAATTAAAGAATAATAATACTCTGATAATAACTTACAGACCACTCTAGGTAAAGTCACCATAGTCATTTCATTTCTTCATGATGGAGTATTTAAGAAAGACTTGCAATGAAAATCAACTTTAGCATTTGACCATAGTTGTCAATATCATATTAACGTTTCACATATTGAATTTAAATATAATGTTTTCGAGGTCAAGGATTAGGACAGAGAAGCTATAAACAAAATAGTTAGGATACGCATACCTTTCCACGATACCAAGGAAGTTTGTCTTCATGACCATGGTGGTGCAGGTAAGTCACTAAATCCAGCCACATAACGAATCCCTGTCATTTTGAATAAAATTCAAGTTAAAAACACTCTTTGAATTGAAAAACAGAACCTTCATGGCAATTCAATTTCAATAGCAATAGCATAGAAACATAGAGCACAGGGGAAAATGACATTTACCACATATGGAACTCCATAGAGTTTAAGCAGTTGAATAGGACCCATTGCAAAAGACAAGCCAACAAGCAAAGCTGCCATGGCAGTCCAGCATAAGGTGGAAGTGATCACATCTTTTCTCTCACTTGGGAGGAACAAAGCACTGTTCGGGTTGAAGTGCGAACCAGATTTTCCAGGACTCCTACTCAACTGAATTGAAAAGAATTTTGAGCAACCAATTTCTTCAACTCTGAATAAAATCTCTCAACAAAAGACCATATACTTACAAGATAAATGGGGTAAGCCAGCAAGGGGAATGGCACAGTGAATCGTAGCTTTTTTGTAACGCCGTCCAAACTTTTATATACTTTCTCAGACAGCTACATCAAAAAATTTAGGAAATTAATAACCTCGAGGACTTAAAAAACTGCAAAAGCAAAGATGATGTGATACAAACTGACAAACAGAGTTTATCACTAACCGGATGCCATGATTCATCATTCTCAACATGTCCATGGTTTTGGTGATGAGTCCTGTGGCTAATTCTCCTGTAAATTAACATCAAGGCAATGCACTTCCTCATTAGTAAATTAAAACAATACCTTACAATCCCTGCAGACTGATAAAAACAGGGAAAAAAATTCTATAAATCAGCGTGCAAGATATTACCATCCATGGTAAGGTACAAGAATTGAAGAATGCAGAATATGCCCCAGCACGCTATTTAGCTTATTGTTATTGGAAAAACTCCCATGGCCACTAAAAGAATCAAATTCAACAACCAAAATACAAAATCAGCATCATCAAAACAAAAGGAACAACCAAAAACAGAAACCCAGATCCATAAACAAAAGAAGGTGATTACCAGTCATGTCCAAGAACAAAAACTGCCCAAAACATTGTCCCTTGAGCAGCCCAATACAAAGGCCAAACAACCCAATTGTTAAAATAAGCAGCAGCTGCAGCTAAACCAAAAACCACAGCAACATCCCTGACAACATAACTCATTGACTTCCAAGGATCTTTAACCCAGCAATGCTTCGGTATAGCAGCTCTAATATCAGACAACTTAAAAGGAGGAGGTGAGGCAGGATCAAATTCTATTTCCTCTTCTCCTCCAACCCCATTGAAGCCATTAACTTTATTATCTTCCTCACCATCTAATGATACAACTCTATATGGAGCACTCACTTTAAGCCCCCAATTTCTCTCCCTAAAACACCCACTTGAAAACTTATCAAAAGGGAGTCTTTTTAGATCTGCGAGACTCCTGTTTGTGTATAAAAATCTTGGCTTTGAAGGGTTGATGGTTCCAGTTCTGGGTCTAGGAAAAACTGGAGAGAGAGGCTTTAAGCCACATTCTGATAACACCCAGCTAGCCATTGGAACCCAAACTGAGAATAGCGGAACTGGTCTCTCTGGCTTCAGAGAAACCAAGAGAGAAGCGAAACGAAAGACCAGCTAAAGAAAAAATAGAATAAAGAATAAGAAACCTAACAAGTAAAGCAAAATATCTAGGAGGGTAAAATATAAAGCCCTAAATAATTTATAATAATAATATGGTATTGTTAGGCAAGAAATTTAGGAGAGAAATAAAAGATAACACTGACACACTTTGTGTTGTGCTGGGTGTCTTAAACAAAGATTCTGAGAGTGTAAGGAGCGGTTTTAAAGGGCTGACTCTTACATGGGTGATATCGTGTAACGTTCACTGCTGTTTGGTTCGCGTGAAAATTGCCTACCGGCCATGGAGCAGTGGTTTGATTTGACCTATTCAAAGAAAGAGTCCTCCTTTTTTCCTACTTGATGTTACGAGGATTCGAAGGTTCCCTGCATCCTTCTAAATTAAGATTCTCTCGTATTACTAAAATCACATCATCTATTATGTTTCAAATTTTATTATTATCCAAATTTATAGAACAAACATGCAATACGAAGATAACGGCATGTATGGTAACTTGGATGGATTGTATATTTCATTCATGTACTCTTTTTTATATTTTCTTAATGCGATTTTTTATTATTTATTTGGTCCTTTTACTCTGCATATATATTTTTAATACGGTCCTTTTGAAGGATTTTGGTAAATTTTTTAGTAGAAAGCGACATGAGAACTGTGATATCAGATAACAATGATACTGTGTATAAAAAAAGCTTTAATTTCAAAAAATAAAATTTTCCCCTTTTTTTATTCATTTTTTTATTTTTTGAAATTAATTTTGTTGACACCTGGTAATCCGCATGCTATTTATTGCTGAAAAATTGATCGAGATCCTATTAGAGAAACCACATTAAAAAATTCTAAAATAAAAAATATCAAATAAATAAATAAAATATGAGAATTACATTGAGAAAATGTAAAAAATATAGAGACAAAATATGCAATTAATCCACTGTAACTTCTAATCCATTTAATTTCTTTATATTTGTATATTCATATGTATAATTTTTTTAGTTATGATTTTCCATTTTTGTTCTAAAACGTTTTTTTAATGAATATGGAATATTTCAATTTTTTTAATATTTCCCGTAATCAATTTTTTTATTTAATTTTTTTCAAAATTTTTCTTTCAATATAATAAATTTTTTTATTGAATGTAAAAAATAACATGAACCTTCCATAAAGATACTCTAAATAAAAGCAAGTGTACAGTTATAGGAAAACTACGGAGACTGACGATACACAGTATTTTGATTAAATGAATTTCTATTGTCTATTCTATATATACAGTAAATCATGATAAGCAGACAACTAAATATTTTTAACACTTTATCCACCCAGCAAATTAGATACAATGAAGCTAGAAATAATATTGAAGAAGGGCAGAGAAAATAATGATATTAAAAAGAAATGGTTAAATAAGCCCCACCTATCTATTTATCTATATCCATGGATTAAATGATTTTTACTTGTATAATTAAAAGGTAAATAGACCTCACAAAACGATACATGAATCTATCCATGCCTTACCCATATTGTATTAGTCTACTCTACGAAACAATGACAATGCTTTCCACTTACCACTTACCACGTTCATGGATGGAATTTGATTGGAGGAGTCCAAAGTCCCCGTTTCTGTCAACTTTCTGCAGCGTCGGTACTAAATGGAAGATGACAAACATGTGTCAAACGTGAATTAATTAAAGTTTCCTATTTGGTCACTGTATTGGATGGGGACAAAGCCACTGGGAAGAGACAGAAGAGAATTAAAATTTAGCCCTCCATGCTATTATCGTGCTTCAATTTATATGCGCAGGGATTTGTGGTCTTTCTGAGAAAATAGAGAACCAAGGGCATGTTATCATCTGAATCATGGGGTATCCATGCTAGTTTTACGATGCAATTTTTTTTTTTTTTTTTTTTTTTTTTTTTAATGTCTGTTTTAATTAAGAGAATTTTGTATATAAAAAATAGTTGGATGACAGCTTGTAAGACAATTCAACTTTCGGACTAGAATATAAAAAAATGATCTTATGTATAATACTACTGCTTTTAATGTTTTTTTTTTCTTGAATAAAATTACTAAATCAAATAATTTAAAATCAACTTGTAAATTTTGAGTGAAGTCTGCAATTTGTGTAGATAAACAGGATTGAAATTTTGTAAAAATAATTATTTACAACAATGATCATCTTAAATGAGCAATTCAAATCTATTAATCTAATTTATAATAGGAATAACAATTTTTAAATTGAAATTACAAAATTAAACAATTTTTGTATAAGAAAAATAAGATTACAAACTGAACAATCTAATAAGTCTAAACAAGAACTTCCATTTATTGACGACAAAAAATGTTTTCAAATGGAGATACTCTAGACATGCTAATTGTTCAAAGATCCAATTCCCACAAATCACAATCACGAAAGGTGAATGTAGAATGAGAATAGAAAACCAATATATCTTCATTTTTTTTTAGTTTTTTTTTTAAAAAAAATTAGATAGAATAATCATGTATGTTTTCTTTTCTTTTTTTTTTTCTAAAATTTATTTATTTAAATTCTATAATAAAACATTAAAAAAGAGTAAAATGATAAGATTAAGTCAGGAAAAAAACAAATTAACACTTATCGAATCATACAAGGTTAATTGTACAATTTTTAACTCCATTAACTTAAAAAAATTAATTAAAAAAAAGAGATTAAGATAGAAACCATAGATAGAAGTACGGACTTAAAACGTAAAAAAAGTAAAAAAAACATAATAAAAATGAAAAAAAAGTAAAAGAACTACTGCAATCATTAACCTAATAATTAATAATTAATGCTCGACTTGATTATTGTTTTTTTGCTGGCATCATTATTAAAAGGTAATAAATACATGCAATTAAATTTGTAAAAGCAATAATACATTCAAAAGTTTGTAAAAGATACATTATTTACTATATTACTATGAATGCATAGAGGGACCAACCCGATACCTAGGAATGGCAATAGGGCGGGGCGGGGACGGGGATGGCTCGTCCAAACCCGAAAAGCTTTGCTCATCTCCGCCTCTTGCCCCGCGCGAGACAATATTTCCCTTACGATCCCTATCCCCGACAGGGCACCGGTGCCTTGCTTAATTCTTTGCGCCCGCCCCGCCTCGCTTCATTTTATTTCATATCATCTTATACCAAATTTCAAGCTATAACAAAAAGATAATAGTCCATATAAAAAATATAATTAATAAAAATAATTATTTAGCATCATATTCAATTACAAGTTTACAACACCGCATAATATATTAAATTATTTTTAATCGAATAAATAACATACTTAATTAAGTTGATGAAATATTATAACTACTAATATCACAAATGTAATTAAAAAAGACAAATCTTTGCATGTCTTTACTTGCGTAGAGATCATCAAAGCTCACTCATTATATTGGATTTCGATATAATCGTTGATTAGTGTAGATCTTACATTCATTAAAATTAAAAGTGAATTAGTCATCACAAAAAAATTTTATACTATCATTTAAACTTTGACTTATTATTTTATATATTGATTTTCTTATGGATACTCTTCATATATAGTATAATAACCATATGAAAAAAATGGAGTTCCACCTAGAAACAAATATAATAAACATAAGTAAGATACGTAAAATGTTTAAGAAATTAATAAAAAAAATCATATTCATATGTAGAGTTTTAGTACATTACCTTCATTTTTCAGTTCGCCCAAAACCAATTTTGAGCACACATTATATTGGACTTCGATGTAATCGTTGATTACTCGTAGATCCTACATTCATTAAAATTAAAAGTGAATTAGTCATCAAAAAATTTTTTTTTACGCTATCATTTAAACTTTGACATATTATTTTATACATTCATCTTCTTCGGATAGTCCTCATACATAATACAATAACCATTTGAAACAAATGGAGTTTCACCCAAAAACAAATATAATAAACATAAATAAGGTATGTAAAATTTTAAGAAGTTAATAAAAAAAATCATATTCATATATAGAGTTTTAGTACATTACCTTCATTTTTAGTTGCCCACAACCAATTTTGAGCACATATTAATGCTTTCATTGTCTTTGGATGAAGTCTACTTTGATGTGGACTTATTGGCTCGCCACCAAGCACTAAAAGTTAATTCTGAAGCAACGGTTGACATGGGGATTGCCAACATATCCTTAGCAATTGCCATTAAAATAAGGAACTTTTTCACCACAGTAGAATATCAAAATCCTTGGTTCTTGGAATAACACCCTTATATAACTAGTGATCTACCTTTGTCTTGACAAAGGTAACCTTAGCCTTCTTCCTCGAAGCATACAAGTCAAACTCAAATTTCATATCCTCGACAACCGTTGAAGGATTAAGCATAGCAGAGCTACCACATCCTCCATCCACAATCATATTTTTTTGGTATTCAGCCAATAAATTATAACAAAGCTTCCTTATATTCTCAACCTCAACCATAACCTCACTTTTATAAACTTTCTCAAAATAGAACTCAAGTGAATCCATTTTGTACCTAGGATCTAAAACCGTAACTACTCCCATTATTTTGTGAATCACACTCCAATACTTATTGAACTTGCCTAACATACTTTCCGTCATTTCACTAACTATTTGATTAAGACAAGTGAGTCATTGAGTCTATGCAACCTTAATTTCATAAATTGTAGTGAAAAACAAATTAGTCATGAGGTATCAAGTTTCTAAAAATAATTCGAGTAATATTGCAAAAGATTTTCAATCTCCCATACATTTACTTTGCAAATTCCCAATCATTATTAGTCGATGCAACTTTATAATGAGGTTTACGATGCTTTAACCTAAGAAAAAAAAATCCTTATATAACAAAGCAATTTTAAGAATCAAATAAGTAGAATTCCATCTAGTTAGAGAATCTAAAGCCAATTTCTTCATGATAGAA